TGATAATAGAAGATTACCAAAACACTTATAATTTACATCATGCATACTGTGATTAAATATTTAGCATTGCTTCAAAATTTGAGAACTACAGTACAAAGTCCGTAATCCGGACTTCGGTGATTCCGGATTATATATCATCAATTTAAATCTGGTAAGATGGCATGCAGAATTTATACAATTAAAAATATTAAACCGTAATTTATGAAATAAAGAGCAATTATGATCTAAAGGGTATCAAAATTTACAAAAAAAAAAAAGCTTAATATTTATTTGTTTACTTTATTAAACACTTCTTTCAATGTAAGTTGTTCGTTTCGCTTTTTTGTGGTAAACATGCGTAAACATTAAACGCGCATGCGTAACATTAAACATGCATGTGTGAACGCATTATGTGCATGAAGAGAAATTATGATCTAAAGGGTATTAAAATTTACAAAAAAAAAAGAGCTTAATATTTGTTTACTTTATTAAACATTTCTTTCAATGCAAGTTGTTTCGTTTTTTGTGCTAAACGTGCATGCGTAACATTAAACGTATTACGTGCATAAGTAAAGCATACAGAAAAAAAGTTTGTGGCTTTGAGGTCCGGATTATAGATCATTCCGGATAATGGACGTCCGGATTACGGACTTTGTACTGTATAAGTGTTTCAAAGTGGTCACACATTAGCTATACATAAAGCCTAATCTGTTAGAAGGTAAAACATTCACCTTACAAGAGATTAACACTGAACAATAAGGATGTAAAAAAATGAATAGTTACTACTATGCATACATATATTTAAAACATTTTGCTAGGAGTCCGAGAAGAGGGAGGGGGGAACCTTATTTGTTTGAGAAGCTCTGGTTTTGCACAAGTCAAACTGATTACTGCAATTGTGAAAATGTTAGCCTAGTCCGAAACTGATGTTTGAAACCTAACTTACTGTGGACATAACACGGACTTTGTGATATCTGGCTTTTGGGAATGTCTAGCATTGAAATGGTAGTTTATGTGAGAGGTTAAGTTCTAAGGTGGGGGATACTCAGATAACCCGCACTTGGCAAAGTTCCTGAAATCATGTTCGCTAATTTGGGGGATAAGTGCCAAACAGTGGGAGGAGTGTTTAGGTTGCTAGCCCAGATGTTAACTAAGATAGGGAAAGGGGTATGAAAGGGATATTTTCTCTCTATATGCAGATAGATACTTTGCGTTGGGTTTCGTGACTTTACAGATAAATCTTTGTGCTGATGATCATATGACTTTGTCAGTAGACGTTTTAAATTTGCTGTTTAATTATTTTCTAAATAAATTAATTACAGCTGTAATTAGAATAAGATAATTTTATTTTTATACAAGAAAATTACAAAATATGCTCCTTTTCCTTACTTATGGCTCATATTATCCCATGTGTATTTACATATAATTAATTAAAAATTTTGGTACTTTTCCATTTTACCGGCGCAGGCGACAAAGCCGTCAATAATGGTACAACTGATGCCAAAATTAATATCCTTGCTGATAACCTTTTATGCCTCATTTTCAAAACAAGTCGCAGCCATTTCTTGTCAGATTGATTGGTCTTTCAATAATGGCATACAATTACATAGAATTTTTACCAGATAGTAAAATTTTATGCCCTAAGGCTATTCACGGTAATTAAGTCAATTAAAATGCAATCACACCACTCACCGGAAGGCGAAAATATAGAAAAGACGAAGTCAAGGGTTAAATTCATCAATTCTAACGAGAATACGCTAGCGAAGTAAAGCACTGCGGTTTTACATAATTTCTGAGTAAGCTATTTGTACAAATTGAAATAATTCTTGCATTTAAACTTGTATTCCAAATTACGAATTAACTTGGAATTAATGTAGATAATTACTGAGATAATTAGATTTTTGTAGCATAGTTTACATGAGATGAGATCACTTGGGGTCACGTGATATGAATCGGCGAATCAAGATGTTGAACCATGAAAGCATAATAAATTCTTAAACTAATGTCTTTTTACAAATTTAATGTCTTTATTTATTGGATTTTTAAAAATTTTAAATGATATTAAAATGTAATAAAAAATTCTTAGAACTAACATTTGTTAACATGTTTTTTATGCGCATACTGTGTGTTGTCGCCAATAAAGTTTGTTTGGCGAGATTTGCGCCGGCGAAATAGAAAAGTACCAAAACTTTTAATTTTAAACTTAATAAATTAATCACACTTCTAATCAGAATAAAATGATTTTATTTTTTATGGAATAAAATATACTCTTTTTCTAACTTATAGCTCGTATTTCCAGATAATTTCTAACTAGAATGAAATTTTTTAAAATTATCTATTTAATATTTAAATACATGGGAGTCAAACAGGAATTAATTTCTAAAAAATTAATTGTACTTCTAAATATGAATATATATATATATATATATATATTTTAATTTGTGGAAGTCATTTGTTTAATCTAACCAAATGCCTTTTTCTAATTATGTTTAAGTATAAATATGATTAGGATTATTTAGAATATCAAAAGCACTTCCGGGCTATTTGCTTAAGGAGAGAAAAGTCTGTTAGCCATGGCTTGACTTCGAGATGAACTACCAGTGTGCAAGTTTTACCCTTCAGCCACTGAAAGACACGCTGTATCATAAAAGCAGTTTTTAACCCCTCATAATCAAATTTATATTCAAATATAATTATTAAAAATGCAATAAAATGATAATCGGACTCTGAAATGTTATGTTAATATAAAATATTAAACATTATTCTGCTGCTTTTCTACATCAAGCATATTTCACTGATTTCTTCATATAGAGGATTTTGTGGATTAAAAGTTTAGTATATCAGTAAAAAATCTAAACCATTAGCCAAAACATAGCATTTCTTTATTTTTTTTACAAAAAACGAATAAAAGTTAATTAAATTTGTATCTTCAAATCGTTGAATAAGATTTATATTTATAGATTTTTCGGTACTATTCTGTTTTGAGGACCACAAAAAATCGCCAAACTATTGTTGATGCCAGTGCTGCCAAAAATAATTGTGGCAACCCTAAAGCAAGAAAGAAAGTATAATAGTAAATAACTATCTAAAGATTATTGTTTAAATTTATATAAAAGGTTAATTTAATATAATACCCTTTTATTATTATAATTTATGTAAAAAAGGCTAAACATAACCGGATGGAAGCATAAGAGTAAATAACTATTTCAGATCATTATTATAATTTATATAAAAAAAGGCTAAACGTAACTGAATGGATTCCTGCATTGCTATTCACTACCAAGTTATCGCTAAAGCATAATTTCATTTCGTTGTTTGTTCAAACATAATTTTCTATAATGAATGATGCTTCTTCTTTGAAAAATTCTATTGCAGACTTTTTGTCGTGGGCAATTCCCAAATTGTTAAATCCATAGGATATCAAAAAAGGATTTAAAAATTAAACTAGTATCTCAATGGCATCTTAAGAAATATAGAACTATCTAAACTTAACGCAATTTGAAATCAGCACGTACACTAGATTTGGTGTGCTGTTAAATGGGTGCATTTGCTAGATTTGGCGCTTTCGCGCATACATTTTTCCTGCAATTTTTTACGGTTCTCAAAAAGGAATAGTACTGATTTTCTTGACGTGTTACTCATTTTCATGTTTAATAGTAATGAATGTAAAATAAACTGAAACTTCAAATAAGTAAAACATAGAAATCTTTGCATCACTGCATTTGCAACAAATGCATAACTGAAATACATTTGCCGACCACATAAAATTGTTTCGGGGGGCTACCTGTTTGAAACCATGTTCCAATTGCACAAAAATAATATTTTAAGATTTAACTTTTCATGGAATAAATACAGGCAAATTCAATTAACCTTATTCTATTCTATTTCATTGGCATCTTTCTGAAATTTTAACAATTGCATTACAGCGTGAAAAGCCATAGAAGCGCTTGTTACAAATCTTGATTCCCTGGTTTCATGGAATAAATACAGACAAATTCAAATAACTTTATCCTATTCAATTTGATTAGTCTCTTTCTGAAATTTAAACAATCGCATAATGTCGTGAAAAGCCACAGAAGCGCTTGTTACAAATCCTGCATTTCAGGATTACATTTCTTTGGTAACCTACATGAAAACTATTTTCGCACTTCAACAAGAAAAAAAGAATAAAAATAACCTTATTAATCGAAATTATGTGCATTAAGGAATCCGGAATGTAAACTATAAACCTGTCTAGATGACTGAATAGCCTGGAATACATTTTGAGGATGCAATATTATTGTGGAAATACATGCGTATTTTATTTTTTTAAACTTTCATCATTAACTGTTTGATATGTATCGCATTTTCGTGATCATTATTGGATTTATATAAAGATCGTTTTCAAACATATACAACCATTTTTATGGATAACTGTTCAAATTAATGGTAACACTGAAAAAAGAGAAGTATAAAAGTTAATAATGCTGGAGTTATATATAATCATAATATAAAATACTAAGACGATAAAAGGTATGTAGATTTACTTACTCGTAACAATAAAAAATCATTAACAATCTGTTCTATGTGTATGGTTTACCATCTCAATGCCAAAAGCTACACTTTGCCTTATGCGATTTTCGCCCAGCAGAGCTTTTCCCCCTGATAATGGGCTGAAGAGGGAATTTTCAGAAAGTGCCATTGGATGCGATTTCCCTCTTGCCATAAAAAAATTCCTCCCAAGGATATGGCGATTTTTCGCGATTCAATATGGCGGAAAAAATTGGGCCACGTGCTGCTGAGTTTTACCCTGAGAATTACCAGACTGCAGTGCTCATGATGTAAAAATCTCTTAAAAAAAAAAAAAAAAAATTCATATCTTTGTAGTTCTTACAAAATGCTGTAAAATGTATGTTTTGTTAGTCTAGGCATATGTTTTTAAACATTTCTTTTCTTGCTAAGTACCATGGATAAGAAAATATTGCTTTAAAGCAGGAATAATTTACTATGAATTTTGATTTATTTTACAAAAAGCGAGGTTCTTCTCTCCTAAAAAAAATAAATAATTTATTAAGAATGTAAATGAAATGACACGTTACACACCTCATATAATAAGATTTCTTTTACAAGATGGGTAAGTCAGTACTACACAGATATATCTTATTTATTTAACTATACTTCAAAAGACATGAGGTTTCTATTCTGTTTAGATGTCTCCTTGAAAATGTTTTTCTGTTCAAGGGTCTTACACATACAACTCATGAATTTCTTTCTCATGTAAATAAGCATATGCTTGTTTAAAGCAGTTTTATCTAAATGATTTGGTATATACCTCACAAACAAGAGATTTCACTCCTTTGTGAGTATGCAAATGCTAATTTAAATGAAACTTTATTCAGACTGATTCATTACACATACCATGCACGTTATGTTTCTCTTTTGTGTGAACATACATATGCTGCTTTAAAATACGTTTCAGTCTAAATGACTTATTACAGACATCACACGCATAATATTTCTCTCCTGTGTGAATAAGCATATGCTCATTCAAATGACGCTTTAATCTAAATGCATTGTTACATACCTCACACACATGAGGTCGCTCTCCTGTATGAATAAGCCTATGCTCATTTAAATTATACTTCACTCTAAAAGATTTGTTACATACCTCGCATACATGAGGTTTTTCTCCTGTGTGAATAAGTATATGATCAGCTAAACTACCTTTCTGAGTAAATGACTTATTACATACCTCACACACATGAGATCTCTCTCCTCCATGAGTAAGTATATGCTTATTTAAATCACATTTTACTCTGAATGATTTGTTACATATATCACACACATGAGGTTTCTCTCCTTTGTGAATAAGCATATGCTGCTTTAAAATACGCTTCACTCTAAATGACTTATTACACACCTCACAAACATGAGATTTCTCTCCTGTGTGAATAAGCATATGCTCATTTAAATGACGCTTCACTCTGAATGAATTGTTACATACTTTACACACATGTGGTTTCTTTCCTGAGTGGATAAGCTTATGCTCAGTTAAATTATATTTTACTCTGAATGATCTATTACATACTTCACACACATGAGGTTTCTCTCCTGTGTGAATAAGCAAATGGTCATTTAAATGATCCTTTTTTCTAAATGACTTGTTACATGTGTCACACACATGAGGTTTCTCTCCTGTGTGAATAAATATATGCTTGATAAAATCAGCATTTCGTCTAAATGATTTGCTACATACCTCACACACATGACGCTTCTCTCCTGCATGGATATGCATAGGTTTGTTTAATTTATCTTTCTGTGTGAATGGCATTTTACATTCCTCAGTTAAGAGAAGATTCTGTCCTGTGTGAATAAGCTTGTTTAAAGTACCATTTAATTTAAATGATTTCACACATGTGGTTTCACTTCTGAATAGATTTAGATGTACTTTAAAATATTGATGTCTTCCAGATGATTCGATACGTTCCTCCTCGGAAGTTTTTTCCCAGCTTGTAGAGAACTATAAGCTGACGACCTTAATATCATAAGTTGCTACACACGTTATAACATTCGCGTTCTGTGCGATTTTAAAAAGGTTTTTTTTTATCAAATTTTATAAAAAGTAGTTGTTGGATTCTTCAGATTAACATTAATATCTTGCAAATACAGATGTCATTATCTTTACAAAAATGTCAACATTTACTGTTGCTAATGTTTGATATAAACAAGCTTTGATTTATTATACCTCACACGTAAATGATATCCCGCTAGAGTACACACACATCTTTAATTATAAATTTATACAATTAGATCATATGCAATGCATTAGGATTGGGTTGAGTTCTGATTTTTCTACAGTTATTAGGCGAAGATTAAAATTGTTTGAACAAGCAACTTTCAAGCTCACTTTAAATGTTCTAACAGATTTCACATTTCATCGTACACGATTTACGAAGTATTCAGCTGTGTAGAATAAAAAACTAATAATTAATTTGCCACAAAAACTTCTTCAATATACAAATACATAAGAGAGAGTTATACTTCTTCTTGAAGCTTGGCTTCCCTTCGGCGCCGCGTATTTCCAAACCCTACCCCACTTTTCGAATTTTGACGTCATGGACAAATCGACTAGTTTCGCCTGGATGGTAATTCTTGAGCATGCGCTGAAGGGCGAGAAGTAACATAAACAGAACTTTGGCTTGCACTTGTAAACAGTATTAATTATATTGTCTGAAAGTGCATTCGTTTATGTAATTGCATAATTTGACTGTTTCTGTATAAGAAAACTTCATTCAGATAAAATTTATTTTAATGTTATTATTATCTGGTAATAGGATTATACGAAATGCTGAATACTCTTGGTACTATCATAATCTTCGCATAACCTTTCACATTGTATTTTGCGTTATCATTGTAAAATATATTGTATTATAAAGATTAAATTACTTTGTTAGAAATGTGAATGTTCTAATTTTCTTTTTATCACTTATTATTTAATTTCGCTTTGAAAACACATTCATATTTGACAAATAATTATCTCCTCTGAACATTTTTTGATTGTTTAAAAACTATATTTGTCAATAATGTAATAAAAACTCACTAATCTAGTGCTTCATAGATCATATGACAACGAATTCGAAATGTTTTTAAAAACAGTTCTTTAATCTTTAGTTTGTAGTAGATGCAACTAATGTCACAGAGAAAAAATATTCAATACAAAAGTTCTCCATGTTAATTCAATAGCACAATTATTTCTATTTCAGTGAGAAATCCACTTTCAGTGCTTATATAACAGAAAAGTTAGAAATGTGAATGTTCTAATTTAATTTTCTTTTTATCACTTATTATTTATTTTCGCTTTGAAAACACATTCATATTTGACAAATAATTATCTCCTCTGAACATTTTTTGATTGTTTAAAAACTATATTTGTCAATAATGTAATAAAAACTCACTAATCTAGTGCTTCATAGATCAATATGACAACGAATTCGAAATGTTTTAAAAACAGTTCTTTAATCTTTAGTTTGTAGTAGATGCAACTAATGTCACAGAGAAAAAATATTTCAATACAAAAGTTCTCCATGTTAATTCAATAGCACAATTATTTCTATTTCAGTGAGAAATCCACTTTCAGTGCTTATATAACAGAAAAGTTAGAAATGTGAATGTTCTAATTTAATTTTCTTTTTATCACTTATTATTTATTTTCGCTTTGAAAACACATTCATATTTGACAAATAATTATCTCCTCTGAACATTTTTTGATTGTTTAAAAACTATATTTGTCAATAATGTAATAAAAACTCACTAATCTAGTGCTTCATAGATCAATATGACAACGAATTCGAAATGTTTTAAAAACAGTTCTTTAATCTTTAGTTTGTAGTAGATGCAACTAATGTCACAGAGAAAAAATATTTCAATAAAAAAGTTCTCCATGTTAATTCAATAGCACAATTATTTCTATTTCAGTGAGAAATCCACTTTCAGTGCTTATATAACAGAAAAATGTAACATAAGCATTTTAGAAGTTTTAAATATAAGCTAAAGGTTTGTTGTACAATTTTATGTAAGAAACGTAATAATTTACTTTCATTCCTTTTAAATCGGCATATTTGTTTCCAATAGATAACTGAAATTTTTGGCAAGTTAGAGACTTAACTTGAACACACAGTATGCCGTCACTTAAAATATCAATTAATTGTTTTTTTCATTTAGAGATACATTGGAATTGAAAATACCAAAGGCAAAATGGGTCACAGATCCAACCTAATTCCTTATTTGGAAATTTTTCAAAAAAATTTCTGTCAGTTTTATCATATGTTGTTTTAAACAAGAAATCTGTATTATTTTCTTTAGTAAATTCTGAAAAACATGTTTCTGTTGTTTTTGTTCAATTCTCCTTGCCAAAGTATTAGCTTAGTTTTAAAAGCTTCAATATTGGTGCTCATTATTAAAATGCTTAGGTTTTTAGAAAATGTCTACTATGTAACTGAGTTTTCCTAATTAATCATTATTAATGAATGAACTTGCTGATGTATGTTTCTTTTCTTCCGAAAATATGTAAACTGTATTTCTCAAATCGAAAATATGTCTCGCTATTTTTCTGTGTGAAAGCCAACTGACTTTGGTAATAATGTCTCATATACAGAACTTATCTAATTACATTGCATTAAAAAGAGACAGCTGTTTAGGATTTGTCCTTTTAATGTAATTAATTGCAGTAATAACCCTGCAATATCATGTGCAATTCTTCATCAGTTTGCAACAAGAGCTTTTCTATGTGTCATACAGTGATGGAATATTATATGGGGAGCAATTTTCATTATTAACCCTCTTAGTCCTTTATAATTACCTGTTAATGCTGCAGCATCATTGGTACAAACTGCGACACAGAGTGTCTAGGTAAGATTATTTGTTTCAAAATGTCTGTCAATAATTTCAAATATTTTCTCTCCAGTTGCTTTTCCTTTCCAAATATTACAACATAAAAAATATTCTACTGTGTCGTCTTCAAAAACGTATCTCAGATAAACGATGAATTGAGACATTTTTGTAATGTCGGTAGCTTCATCAAGTTTTTATAGTAAAGACTGGATTTTGTATTCTATAGTGTCTGATATTACAGAAATTTGGTGAGAAACGGTATCTTTTTTTAATGCTATTGTTTTTAAATCATTACTATATTTTTCTGCATGCATAAATGATGTTATTTTAATTGCTGAAGGAAGAATAAGCGATTCTCCAATTGTATGAGGTTTTAAATTTTTTGCAATTAAATATGAAACTTTTAAGGATGCCTGTAAATCCTTCTCAGGAACTGTTGTATATTTTTCAAAAACACATTTTAATTTTTCATGCTCTTAGCTCATTCCTTAAAAAAATTCTTCAGATTTATTTACTTAATCTTTATGTTTAGTTTCTGAGGTACTTTCCGTTTCACTGCCGCAAATCTCGCCAAGCAGACTTTGTTGTCGACAACATACAATATACACATAAAAATTTTAACAAACGTTAGTTCTAAGAATTTTTTATTTTGAAGGCATAAACATTTTAATACCTTTTAAAATTTTGTAAAAAAGCCAATAAATAAAGACAATAAATTTGTAAAAAGACATTAAGAATTTACTATGTTTTCATGTTTCAACATCCTGATTTGTCGGTTCGTATCATCACGTGATCTCATCTCACGTAAACTACGCTACAAAAATCTAATTCTCTCAGTAATTATCTACATTAATGACAAGTTAAATCTTAATTTGGAATACAAGTTTAAATGCAAGAATTATTTCAATTTGTACAAATAGTTTATTCAGAAATTATGTAAAACTACAGTGCTTTACTTCGCTAGTCCATTCTCATTAGAATTGATGAATTTGACCCGTGATTTTGTCTTTTCTATATTTTCGCCTTCGGATGAGCGGTGTGATTGCATTCTAATTGACTTAATTACCATGAATGGTCTTAGGGCATAAAATTTAACTATCTTGTAAAAATTCTATGTAATTGTATGCCAGTATTGAAAGAAACAATCAATCTGATAAGAAATGGCTGCGACTTGTTTTGAAAATGAGGCATAAAAGGTTGCCAGTGAAGGTATTCTGTTTGGCATCAGTTGTACCATTGTTGGCAACTTTATCGTTTGCACCGGCAAAACGGAAAAGTACCGTTTCTAAATGTGTTTTTAATTTCGCAGGTTTCATACTTTCCATGTGCCAAGTTTTCACTGCATTTAACACACAATGGATATTCATTTTCCATTAATAATGCAACATGTAAAATGGTATAAAATAAACTCTTCTTGATATTTACTCAATTTTTTTTAGAAGTAGAAAGAGAGCCATTGGATTCATTATTGTTTGCATTTTCATTAATAGTTTTTCTCTAAGTTTATTTGATGTTGGTCCATCCATCCCATTTCTCTTGTGAACATTGGGTATCTATTTTGGGCCATTTAACCATCATGAACAAAATTGCAGCTAAAACAAAATTGTTTTTATTATCCTTTGAGACACTACTGAATTTTCCAATACTTAGGAAATGTTATGTGCTTACTTGACAACAAATTTGATTAGAATTAAGAAACATAGTTTATAAATGATGCATATTACAATTACATGCAAGACACTACTAACATAGTCGAAAAAACTACATCTTAGCTACGCGTATGCAATTGCATTGAAATGCGATTCAACCTGTTTGGAAATCATCAAGCATAACACACAAATCAAGTGGAAAGCAATAAATTCAAAATTAAAATATGGAAATGTTAAAAAAAACATCCAAAGTTCTCTTCAAATTCCGTATACCTTTTATTGTCAAATAAATATCTTTGGATTTGGTGACCCCCCCCCACAAATTTGTTCATGACTCCCAGGTTTAAATTTTGTAAAAAAAACAATACAAGTTATCAATTGCATTTTGAAAAAAAAAAAAAAAAAAAATGATTTCGGGCTTGTCTTCAACAGAACAGCATGCAATAGAGTATTTTCAAAATTACGGGAAAGTACGACTTATGTGAAAATTGATAAACATTGGCTGTCCAATGTGAAAAGTGAATTACGGTTTAATATGTTATGTTCATAGCTTGTGTATTTTGATTATCTAACTGAATACAGAATGATCCGTTTCTTCAAATTTCTGCTGGAATAACTGCTAGAGAAAATCTATCCCATTTCAGATGAACAGAAAGCGTTTTATTCTTATTCAAACAATTACACAGTACTCTCGCATAATACTTACAGTTATTTACATGAATTAGGTTAGTGCAATCAATTTTATTCCTTATTTACATGAATGACATATCACACAATGCTGTGTAGGCTGGTGACCTAGCGATGATGACTCAAAATGCATCTCTGCATTCAGGCATACACTCCTTACAAGAATATAACCATGCACTGGAGTCCTAGCTTCAGCAGGTACATTTTTTTGTGCTATGCCATCTCTGTGGGTCCTAAATTCTAAAAACTTTTCCACTCCTAAATTCCAAAAATTTTGCTACTTGATATTTCTGTAAATTCCAAAATTTTGCACACCTGCCATAACCGCACTGGCTGTGGCCTCAGTTATCCAAAGTTCTAGCAAAATCAAATATTGTAACGTTATTTCAGACGA